TCATGCGCAAGTTAGCCGACGCTGAATCGCATACAAAACAATTGACCATCAGCTTGCACTGGGTTGCCAAACCTCGGCTGTCCACAACTTTGACCTCTGTCTGGACACTCTGGACTCTGGACCGTAGATGTTTACGACAATCATGAAATGACACAACACAGTGCTGCGAAAGCACTCAGCGGCGGCACTGGCTGTGTCTTCTCGATAGCGACCCACAATGCCGTAGCTGTCTTCCGCTGCAACACAGCTGGCGGATTCACCACCTCACCGAGAACAAGTTCTGATCAATTGCTGTGTTGGTTTCGTCTAATGTCGTGCCTATTCATTCTGAATCTCATGCTCGCTAAGGTGAACACAAACTTGCAATTGGTCATCTGCCCCGTCGCATCAGTGGCAAGCAGTGTAACCCGCGATACCTTGGCAGAGCTTCAGCAAAGACGGCAATACACATGAATACCGAAAATAATGTGCTCATTCCATGCTACCAAGCTACCAACACAGAGAGTGTCGTGTTGGTCTCGGCGCTACACTGTTCATTCCGAAGACGAAGACACTGGCCAGTCTCATCGAACTCAATGTGATAGCCGATGACCGCACAGTGGTCCTGCGAAAAGACCACACAAACTCTCAGTTTAGGAATTGTGACTGGGTTGGATCGCTCGTCAGTTTGGTTTGGTCCTTCGACGACGTTTGCTCTATGAAGCCGCGCTTCTGCTCCCCCAGGTAAAAGTGACAGAGCGCATTCCGCGCCTTTGATTGTGTCGAAGAGTCGAATCCAGGAATTGAAAGCAGGCTGTCACGCTCGTTCATCAATTCAATCGACCAACCGAATTGAATAGACTGATAACGACGTGAACTGAACTCCAGCAAACCCCAGTATTGCAGGCCTTCGAAATGGTGTCGGTGCCCACGCCCATCCAAAATGCCAAACTGTTGAGGGAAAACCTGAGGAGGTGTTAGCAATGATAAGGTTATTATTTATCGTTATGTCATATTAATATTAGTGACGCTATGATATTATGGTCTTGCAGCTTGCAGCATTGTAGCCACGAGCCACGACAGTATTGAAAGCATCTAAGTTTACTCGTTTAAGTGCCAACAGGATACATTGTCGGCGATTTGCTGAGCAACTTCGGGAGCACTACAGATGTGCCGTCCTTGCCGACACGCAAAATATTGGCTGTCGACCTGCCCAACCTGGGCATCAGCAACACTGATTTCGAGAATTGGAGTCTGATTGGAGTCCCGAAACTTGTACAGCTGTTACCGCCGCATCGCAACAATTTCTGAGTAAGGTGACCTGACTGCACAACTGTATGGGGCCCGAACGACACGCGGAGGATTGCAGCCGCCGTCCATGTCTTCCACTGGCCTATCGATTGTAGTTGCGAGCTGTGAGTTGCGAAGTAAGCTCAACTGATTGATATCAGGCAATTGGGAATCATGAATGTCCCGCCTCTCCCCTTTATCTTCTCCTTCTCCTTGGTGCCTGCGTCCACATTGATGACGTCCCGTTGATGCACCGCATGCTCATGGTTCACCCTCTGGATGCGGCTCCTGCAGAAGCGAAGGGAATCGGATGAGACAAAATCACAGTGCACTAAATCACCAAGACCCACTCCTGAACCGATCCATGAAAGACTTGAAGCGCACTTCCACATTCTTCTTGTCTTTGCCTGTTCAGGCTTGCACTTGCACTGATAGATTAGATTATTTGCTTCCTTTGCTTGTCCGAACATGAATGACAAACGCACTGTCACAGTATCACAACCCTCGCCTGCTCTAGCCAAAGCGCACACGCTGTGCTTCGCATGTTTGGGCTGCTGCTGAAGCACTGGCCCTCGAACTGCATGGCGTGCCACATCCTGAACAGCCAGGAACAGTCGCCTGACAGCTGGAACGACTGCTGCAGAGTCATCGCCCGGCATGGCGGATGTTGCACAATCTTCTGAATTTCTGTTGCATAATATAACTATTGGAATGTCTCGCTCACTTTAGAAAGAAATGCCAAGCCAATATAAGGCGATATCTTTAGCCATCAGGACCTTATCAGGAATTTAGGACGAAGATCGGAGGATCTGCTAGGATTTGCTCGCAATCTCGAATTCACAGAGCACATCTCGCAGCATTCGCTTCTGACACGCTCACGAATCATTCCAGCACACAAAACATCAAGCAAGGATGCACCGCACCTACTTTACCCGCACCCTTGTACCCACCCCTGCACCCTATGCACTTAATACCCGCACCTTTGCACCGACACCCGCCCCTCACCCCCGCACCCTTGCACCGACACCCGCACCTGACACCCGCACC